GCCATTGCTATTAGGTTGGAGGCCATCGCTATTAGGTTGGAGGCCATTGCTATTAGGTTGGAGGCCATCGCTATTACGTTGGAGGCCATCGCTATTAGGATGGAGGCCATTGCTACTAGGTTGGAGGCCATCCCTCTTAGGTTGGAGGCCATCGCTATTAAGTTGGAGGCCATCGCTATTAGGTTGGAGGCCTTAGGTTGCAGGCCATCGCTCTTAGGTTGGAGGCCATCCCTATTAGGTTGAAGGCCATCGCTATTAGGTTGAAGGCCATTAGGATGGAGGCCCTTGCTATTAGGTTGGAGGCCATCGCTCTTAGGTTGGAGGCCATCGCTATTAGGTTGAAGGCCATCGCTATTAGGTTAGAGGCTATTGCCATTAGGTTGGAGGCCATCGCTATTAGGTTGATGGCCATCGCTATTAGGTTGCAGGCCATCGCTATTAGGATGGAGGCCATTGCTATTAGAATGGAGGCCATCGCTATTAGGAAGGAGGCCATCGCTATTAGGTTGGAGCGATGGCCTTAGGTTGAAGGCCATCGCTATTAGGTTGAAGGCCATCGCTATTAGGTTAGAGGCCATCGCTATTAGGTTGGAGGCCATCGCTATTGGCCATCGCTATTAGGTTGGAGGCCATCGCTATTAGGATGGAGGCCATTGCTATTAGAATGGAGGCCATCGCTATTAGGATGGAGGCCATCGCTATTAGGTTGGAGGCCATCGCCCTTAGGTTGGAGGCCATCGCTCTTAGGTTGGAGGCCATCCCTCTTAGGTTGAAGGCCATCGCTATTAGGTTGAATGCCATCGCTATTAGGTGGAGGCCGTTGCTATTAGGTTGGAGGCTATCGCCCTTAGGTTGGAGGCCATCGCTATTAGGTTGAAGGCCATCGCAAGTAGGTTGGAGGCCATCGCTATTGGGATGGAGGCCATTGCTATTAGGTTGGAGGCCATCGCTCTTAGGTTGGAGGCCATCGCTATTAGGTGGAGGCCATCGCAAGTAGGTTGGAGGCCATCGTTACTGCTCAAAAAAAGAAACAAAAACACATATTCTTAGCATGTGTGCTTCGCATATGGTACAGCTTTGCAAAGCAAAACGCTTTGTTTGCTTCACATCTTCAGCCCGGCCGTCGGTGGGCAGCTTGGAAGAGGCCTCAGGATGGAATCATTGTCACTAGTAGTAAGGATGCTCCTAGTAGCGATGCCAGGAGCCCCTAGTAGCGTCCTTGCTCCTAGTAGTAAGGCCAGGAGCCCCTAGTAGCGTCCTATATGTGTTTATATACGAGTTTGATCTAATTTTGGTGTTTTTAATGTGTGGTGTTTCAACGTAGAAAGACAGCTGACGTGCCACCACTAAGAACTCTGCGTCTTTCATCAGCCAATGTGCGTGAAGGCCTGCACCAAATGCTGCAACAAACGGAATCGTTCAAACGAATGCCGTCCAAACTGTATCCTGCAACACAGAATTGTTTAAACCGGACCTTCTTCACCTCATCCCAGTCAATGATGGGTGGGTCTTCTTTCCCCCATTTGTCCTGGCAAGCGCCAAGATTGTCTGGATTGACAACGTCACGGTGAATTTACGGCTTCATGCTGTTGCAAGCTACCAACATGTAAGATGCGGACGCACTTGCCAGTCCAAGTCACACCCCATGCGTAGGTGTTGCCTGCCAACTGCCGCATACAAACTAGAGCAAATGAATCCACTCAAAAAATCGAGCAGTGAATCCACCAATCTGAGTCATTGCAAGCTTTGCTTGATCAAGCTAGGGCATTGCTTGTCACCAATAGCACAGCTGACACAAGACTAAGATTGTCTCGATGATGTGTTCCTAGTTTGTGTGTGTGGGGCATTGAGTCCCTATTGCATCGTGTCTTGCCCTTAAAGCCCTTGGCCTCCCTCAAATGTGACGGCAGCCTCCTGAGAGTAGTTTGTGAATGTCCAACGACTGAGTCGATGTGTCCGTGGTGTTCTTGTATGCCAGTAAATCCATGCATATCTCGAAACCCAATCATCCAAGGGTGCTTTAAGGAAGCCTCACAAGGAGAGAAGCTTCCTGAACAACCCGACCTCTTACGGCCTCCCTCAAAGTGCTTCTCTAGCCCTACCCCGAACAAAGGCCACGGTTATGGCCATGTCAGCTAAACAGCCAAAGTGATCTCCTTGACAGGAGCAATGATGGCCATGGCTGCCTTCTCATTTTTTTGACCTTGCCAAGCCACGAAGACCACGACGGCCACCAAAGCCAAGTCAAGAAGAGAAAGTTACTTGACAACCAAAATACAAGCAAAGACCATTGACAGTGGCTATGTGTGACTGCGAATGATACTACTATTACTGACTGTGTGTCGCTATTTTGTTCGTGCTGGTCCTTATCCCCTTCTTTGCAGTGAGAGCGCTGCTGGTGTTCAGGCCCAGATCCACAGCTGGCTTGACCTTGGGTGTCATAGTCCTGGTCACAGACTTGATGGCCTCACAACAAAAAAGTTTGTGTGTCATAATTGAGTGAGAACAAGAAGCTACTAGGAGCAAGGACGCTACTAGGGGCTCCTGGCCTTACTACTAGTAACAATGTTCGCTACTAGGAGCTTTAGCTGCCAAGCTCCAAGCCTGCATTCCCCTGGACCTAACGAAGGCTCAGACTTGTGTGTTCTACTGAAATCTGGCATGCTTGCTGTGTTGAAGCCAAGCTTGTTACGCCATGTCTAAAAATATCAGCAAAGCCTCAGCACGGCGAGTTTCTACAAATTGACATGGGGGTGATAGTGCATGTTCTTTCTCTTGTCCTTCTTCAGACCCTTAGACCCTTCATCGTTCGCTTTATTCGGCCCTTCCTGCCCAACAAAAGCTGACTGCAATATTGATATCCTGATGTACTTGGTGCGTCGCGATTGGGACAGTCAGTTGAGGCTTCCAAGCGCTTGTGCCAAAATGTCATGTCACACAAATCTGCAAGCTCCACACGAAAGTCACGTGTATGTGGCATGTTGGCTTCTGCAGGTATTCTTCGGTCTGACGAAAAGAGCATGATTTTGCCTCTGTGCAAGAGCAAGCTGCAAGCTGGAAGGCATCATGTCTCCAGCTCAACAAAGGTTGGCTTGTAAACCCGCACTTGTCTGAACAACCTAAGTCAAAGTCTTGCATACACGTTGAGCCCAAACAATTCTTTTTGAAGCCTGCTCCCCCTAAGTAGGCGCTTACTTAATTAAGTAAGGGAGAGGTAGCTAGCACCTTGCTTAAGCTACTAATATGGACGCAGGATGGCTGACTCTTCTTCAAGGAAGCTCCCCCCACCTGAGGGCAGGGGGAGCTTCCTTGAAGAAGCGCTCGCACTATTCATTTAAGTTCCTAGAGGGAAACTTACTCTTGGGCACAGCCAAAATAGTTGCCCAGGGGCTCAGGACCAAGTTGTTCGGCGGCCAGGTTTGCAAAGTGAATGTTCTCCGCGATTGCTGAAATCCACGCGTCACAATTAATCTCAGAGTCGCTTGCATCAAAGGTAAAGGACCGAAAAGAATTCCCTGTGAAGGAGCTTGGATTTTGCCAGCCTTCAGGCTGCGCAGGGGATATAATGAAACCACTGGGATTTCGTCCATCTTTCTCAATGGAGGCCTTATGTATAAGGAAGTTGATGCAGCCCTTGGCTTGGCCATTGCTTGAGGCTCCCTCTTCGTCAAACCAAAGAAAGTGGCCATCCTGTACCACACAAATTCGAGGCTGCTGATCCCAGCGCATCATTCGAAGCATAGACCTGAAGCCATTGGGACTTGCTTTTCGCAGAAAGCCACGGCAACTTGGTGGCAGATCGGTGAAGGCCCACTCCAACGTTCTGGTCACAGTGGTGCCCAATGATTTCCACGGTAAACACTCTGGTTCTCCACCTCACTCTGATGAAACGTAGGAAATGCGGTCCAAAACATGCACTTGTGAAACACTCAGACCTAAGTTGTAGAACGAGCTACAAAATGGGGACAAAGATTGCCAAAGACATGAACCAAAAGTGCAACATGGTTTGTGCTGCTATCCAAGCGTCCTTTCTTTCTGTGGAGAACTGTACGTCCCTCCTCTCGGCAAAGCTGCTTGGTCACAACCTCCAGAAGTGATGTCAATCAAGAACAAGGCAAGTTGCACTTCTGTTTGTGACGTAGCAAACCATCAACTAAAATCTTCAGGGGAAGTGGTACCATGAGTCACAAAGTGGTCTCTGTTCATGAGGACAAACAATGGGTATGCCTCGAGGCTGTAAAGAAAATGCTTTTGCTTCAGTGTTTCAACCTACTAGCGATGGCCTCCAACCTACTAGCGATGGCCTCCAACCTAATAGCGATGGCCTCCAACCTATTTGCGATGGCTCCAACCTTTTGGTCATGGCCTCCAACCCAATAGAGATGGCCTCCAACCTACTAGCGATGGCCTCCAACCTAGAAGCCTTGGCCTCCAACCTATTAGCGGTGGCCTCCAACCTAGAAGCGATGGTCCAACCTACTAGCGATGGTAACCTGCTTTTAGTTCGATATTTACTGCAGCCAAACTACGACCTCTTTGAGCAGCCCCATGACGCCTACCACTGACTTTGAGCGGCTGAGCTCCACCTCCCGTCCTTCTTGGACAGTATCACAAACCTCATTTCCAAATGCCTTGGAACTAAAAAGGCCAGCCAATCTCTCTTCGAAGACTGATTTGAAAGCTAAAACAAAAAGCATGTTAAGAAACATCAAAGAGCATTCTCTCACGTGCCTCGTTTTTGACCTCCACCCAATGCCATAAATCCCTAAGCTTCACTTCAAGCAGCTGCCGTGCCTCGCAGATCTTGAAAGGTAGCTGCTGCAAGGAATGTCAACAAGGGCATCGCTACTAGTAAGTAAGAAGCTACTAGCAACTTTGGGCTGTCGATGCCCTTTGTTACTAGTAGCGTCCTTGCTCCTAGTAGTAAGGCCAGGAGCTACTAGTAGCTTCTTAGTTACTACTGAAATAGTTGGTTTAGCAAGCGAACGGCCCCTGAAGAACCCTCGCGGCAGGAAGCGGTTCCTGTCTGTTGGAAACGGTGGAACACTGTGCCAGGAGAGTCCGCGTGCTCGCCTCCATCTTCAGCCCTGTGTGGCCAATGTGCGCACTGGATTCGTCAAAGCGTCCAAGGAGACTCGGGATCGGATTCCTTTGGACATGAAAACGCAGATCTAAACACCTCGATGCCAGCATACACAAAAAGAAAGCTAGGAATCGTCCTGCTTAAGCACAACTGAGGATTAATCGTGGCAAGTTTTCAGGAACTCTTTAGCTTTCAGGATAGACATCTTGGACTATCGAGTTCTAGTTTGTTTGCGTGCGTCCTTTCAGCCAAATTGGGCTCGTAGTCTGTTGGCTCTGACATTAGGCTTTGACCAAGTTGAGTCAAGTCTGTTGTCAACGGCAGCAAGAATCCTGCAGGTGAGGACAGAAAGTAATGACCGCCGTGGGATTGGATTGCAAAAAGCATCAATGCATTTGGCCATGTCTAGCACAAACCCCACGAGCCAACCTTCGTAGATGACATACCTTGGATCGCGATTGCGGAATGCAAAAGAATTTGGGGGAAATGAACAAGCGATGTTTCAAACTTGCAGTCTTGGAACCTGTTCATTGATGGCACACTGATTTCTTCTGACTTCCGGACTTCAGCTACGATGAGCTCCATTACGCCAGCCAATTGCCTGCAAGGGCAATCTAGGTGAAGCTCAAAGGTAAAGGATGTTGTAAATTACTGGGCCTAGTAATTAGGTTGGAGGCCATCACTAGTAGGTTGGAGGCCACCGCTCTAGGTAATGGGCTGATTATGTGAGCCCTTCTGGGCCCTTTGCCTTCCAAGTACTGGAACGCCACCCATTTGGAGCTGCGTCCGGTGTTAGACCAAGTGTTCTCTCACGCTCCTCACACTTTCGCTGAAGGAGGGCATCCCCATCAACGGAACCTCAGAAAGTGTCTAGAAGAAGAAGTAAGAAAAGAAGAAGAAGAAGAAGAAGGAGAAGAAGAAGAAGAATAACAAAGAATAACAAAGGAAGAAGGAAAAAGAAGAAGAAGAAGAAAGAAAAGAAGTTCAATCTGTCCATCGCTGGAGCATCTGGCCGTGAAGAAGCTTCTTGAGGGGAAACACTCCCTGACGGTGTCCCGAAGCTCCTGGTCATAGTTGACTTATAACATCCAATCCATTCATTCCATCCTTTTTCTGCTTCGCTTTCAGTCAATGCGAAAGCTGAAATAACGTCCTGGCGACCTGGGTCGTCGAACTTTTGCTTCAATATCTTCTCTAATGCAGAGCCCTCATAGCGAAGAGTGTTCTTGTTGACCACAAACACCAACTCCTCTGATTCCGATCCAAGCAGTCAAAGTACACTTTGCCTAGACTAAAAGTCTTCCTGGGCAAGGACTTGGTCAACTTGCCATGTAATGCAAGAAGAAGTCACAGTTACAGTACGTTAAACTAAAGAGAAAACGCATCTCACCGCCACCCCAATATACACTCTTAACGACGTTTGGTTGCATTCTTGAGCTTTAGTCAGGCGAGCTCATCACTGTCAATCAAAAACGCAGGCACGTCATGTTAAAAATGCATCATGTCTCCCACGTTGAAACCAACAGAGTCCTGGGTGGGCAGTTGTGTGCCTTCTTCCAACCGCACCAGAGAGCGCGCAGCCAATGACATGCCCAGTGTCTGCAATGCCTGAAACTACACAATCTTTTGCTCAACTTCTTCGTGGGCAAGTTGGGCCCCAACTGTTGGGGCAGTTGGAAGCGAAGCTCACTTTTCCGTCAACAAAGCAAATGTCGCACCTGCTCGGTAGCCATGCCGTTTGCCACAAAAACCACCTACATTCACCAGCACCACATGTTCCGAGTTTGCAGGAGAATTACAATAAAACACTGTTTGCCGACCTCCAACCTAAGAGCGATAGCCTCCACGCTAGTAGCGATGGCCTCCAACCTAACTGAAATCCGAAAAAAAAATGGATTCACTTGCCTGGCTCCCAAGCAACAAGCCGAAGACATTCACCAAGGTTCGGATCGCAGCCTCAAACTTCGATGCGTCGGGTTCATTTGGGATGGAAAATGGGGACAAACACTGAGCATTCTAAGCAAGGACGCTACTACGGGGCTCCTGGCCTTACTACTAGGAGCAAGGACGCTACTACGGGGGTTGGTCTTGAGTGGAAACCGGCAAGATCAATCGGCTATGAGGCTGAGCCACCATGGCATTGTTGCCGCCCTCGCAGTCCATTACCAGCAAGTGTTCGTCTTGCTCACCAAACCCCTCCAAAGGCATCTGAATCTTAAAGAAATCACATTCATATATGTTTTTGCTCGTGCAAAATGTTTGTAAATGTGTCATAAAATGCAACTTCTTTTGCTGGAAAGAATCAGCTCAAGAAACAGTTCAGCTGATCACATACGACATTGTTGGAAGCCAAACGGCCCAATAGAACCATGTATATGGCCGTAGCCTTGACACTGGACACTGTCGCTAGCACCCAAGGCAATCCACAAGAGATTGAGAACCCTACAGTGGCAACCAAGAAAAAAACAATTATCCCGGCAAGAGACCCCAAACAGTGTGTGTGAGGTCTATAAGCAGAAAGTCTAGAGATCTAGACGCAATGGGGTCCAGAGAGGTGATGGTGGTGATGAAGGTGGGGATCGTGGTGACGGTGGCGGTGGTGGGTGAGTGAGTGAGTGAGTGAGTGAGTGAGTGAGTGAGCGCTGTACCTGCCACGAAATCTGCGCGTCGAGGTTCACAACGTGCTGCGCCTGTCACGAAATCTGCACGTCGAGGTTCACAAAGTGCTGTGCCAGCCACGAAATTCGCAAACGAGCCACATGTCCAAAAGTCACGATTCGCTGCACCCGTCTGTCACGAAATCTGATCTCCTCGACGATCACCACCATGTCCAAAGCGCTACACCTGCCACGAAAACTGCATTTCAAAATAGAACAGCTCCGATCCCTTGCAGACTTCGAAGCCCGAAAACACGAGGTTTCCCTTGCACCTGCCACGAAAAGTGCCATCATGTGCGGAAATGCGCACGGCGCCACAACGAGAGCGCAGTCGTTAGAAGCACCCGCCGTGGGCGCCCAGACTTTGCGAGCCTGCGCAGTCGAAATGCACATTGACGATGTCGAGAGGCATGAATGCACTGTAAATAGCAGCGAATTAGCTGGTCACGGCCGCGCGCTTCAGCGATCTAAGCATCAGCTGCCTTCCTCCTACAGTATGTGTTTGGGGAAAAAACTGTTTAGTGATTAGTGTTCCTTGGCCTCTTGTTATCGCCTGTTGATCTTTCTTCCTAATTCAGTGCCTTGTCGGAGATCTTGCTGACCGGGACTGCCAGGACATCGATCCCTTCCGTGACCGACTCCGCAGAGTCGCTAGAGACGAAGGCATCCTGTAGGTTGGAGGCCATCGCTACTGGGGTTGGAGGCCATCGCTGCTAGAGTGGAGGCCACCGCTAGTAGGTTCCATCCCTACTAGGGTGGATGGTTGGAGGCCATCCCTACTATTAGGGTGGAGGCCATCGCTAGTAGGTTGCGGGTGGAGGCCATCGCTACTAGGGTGGAGGCCATCGTTATGGTAGGCTGGAGGCCATCGCTACTAGGGTGGAGGCCATCGCTATATAGTAGGTTGGAGCCCATGGAGGCCAATTTCGTAGGTTGGAGGCCATCGCTAGTAGGTTCAAGGCCATCCCTACTAGGGTGAGGCCATCGCTAGTAGGTTGGAGGCCATCACTACTAGGGTGGAGTGGAGTTCTTGGCCATCGCTGCTAGGGTGGAGGCCATCGCTATAGTAGGTTGGAGGCCATCGCTACTA